TAAGCCACGGGGGGGGGGGGGAGGTCATCAGGAGATTTGGAGTAAAGTGTCACTAGTAGCCTGACAGCAGCCAACTCGTTTCTCCTTTACAACCTCTGCAGTGGAGACTGTCTAGACCAGTGGTTCTTAACCTTGGGTTACTCAGGTCTTTTTGAACTACAGTTCCCAGAAACCCCAGCCAGCACAGTTGGTGGTGAAGGCTTCTGGGAGTTGCCGTCCAAAACTCCTGAGTAACCCAAGGTTAAGAACAAGTGGGCTAGACAACCAAGCAATGCCTGATTTCAGTCATGGAATGGACAAGGACTAATAGGCTGATACTGAACCTGGACAAGACTGAAATTTTGCTCATGGGGGGCTCTGAGAGGTTTGGGGGGGTTATCCCTAGACTGGACAGCATTGCTCTCCCATTTAGGGACTAAGTTCGTAATTGGGGTATTCCTCTGTACCTGGCTCTTTGCAGCTGTGTCCAGACCTGCCTTAAACCAGCTGAGTCTGATTGCTCAACTCCATCCTACTTAGAGGAGAGCTCCCTCAGGATGCTGGTGCAAGTACTGCTTATCTCCTGAATTGACTGTTGGAGCTTCCCTTGAGGCTACAATGGGTCCAGAATGTGGTGGCCAGACTGGTGGTCGCTGTGAGCAAATTTTCCCACATCACTCCAGTTTTGGCTTGCCTTCCTAGTTACCTGTTGTGTGTTGAAGGTTTTTGACCCTCACATATAAAGCCCTTCACGGTTTGTGACCATGCTAGGAGAATGCGATGCTCCAGAAACTGCAGTAGCAAGATGTGATGGACAAAGTCTTATCTGTCATGGTGGTGATGCTTCAGAGTCTTCTCCATTGGGAAGCCTCTCTGACTGCACCATGCGTTACGTTTTGTCAGATTGATACAACACCCATGTCTTTCAGGAGGCCTTTTGGGGAGGTTGGTGGCTGGTCTAGATTTCTCTGGCTCCTGCTAAGATATTAATATTTGTCCTGGTAACCATATCTGCTTAACTCCATGTATGGCTTTGTTGAGCTTTATTTTCAATAACCTTTGATCTATCTTGCTGGAAAAAAAGTGGGATGCAAGCTTGTTGCAATGCCACCCTATGCATGGCTATACAGAAGCAAGTCCTGTTGAATTTCATGGGGCCTACTCCAACGTAAACTTGTCTTTGGTTCCAATGTCAATTAAAGCTCCAACAAGCCCAAATGAGCAATGATACTGCCACTTTGCAAACAAACAAACAAACAAACACAGAAAATGGAGGCAGGTGCCAGCTACAGGAGGCCTTACTTAATATGTTCTATCAAACGTTGCCTCTCATTACAGATTGTTGTATTAGCCAGGATTATAGTTGACATGGACCAAGTCAGTTTGTCTGCTAGAGGAATTTCTATTTTGGTTGAGCTGCTGTGTTCAGAGGAGACAGCCACCCTCGTGGTAACAGGTAAACGCACAAGTGGCAGAAAGGAGAAAATGCAGGGTTTTTTTTAATGCAACCATATTTATAAGATGTTGAACACTGAACAGTCTTCTCACTTCGTAACATTATTACATGCTCCACGTGAGAGAAAAATTAGGTAAAAGAGAATGGGGAAAGAACAGAGCAGAAGAAAATCTTTTACTCTGGCGACAAAACCGTATGATAACTGGCTAAAGCTGGGTGTGTCTCAGTCCTATAGAAAATAAGATTTCTAATTAGGAGGAACAGTTCTCCATCTCTTGCCCTTTTCCTTTTGAATAGCAGCCATAGGGATGCCTGAAGTGGATGGGCACCACCGGGTTGGGAAGGCATCCGCTATATCCTGTCAAGTATCCCTCCTCCCCCCTACAGATATGAGGACTACCTTGAGGGCTACCTAATGGCTTTGGAGTTAAAATCAAGTCCCCGCATGGGATGCCGTGGTTGGTGAAAGTTGAACGCTACAGTCTTCACCTCCCTTGCCATGCTATTGTCTGAATCATCCTTCACAGCTGTTATTTAGGAAAGGGAAATATGAGAGAAAGAGAGAGAGAGAGAGAGAGAGAGAGTTTGGCTCTGCAGCACATGGCCTTGGACAAAACCTTACCTCTGCAGTTACTTTACCGATGAAGAGTGGTACTCTGGTGCCCTTTATCCTAGCTTCACTACAGCCATTTACGACCAATATACAGACAATGTTTTTGTACTGACAGCTCTGCTGGGGATGAACAGCAACGGCATCATCGCCCAGGAATATTGATCTTTAATGTTAATTTAAAATTCCATTTTGGTGAAATTGGTGAACCCATTGAACCCTTAATTAAAAGTGATAAGCTTTCTAACACAGGTTATAGCATTTGCCAGGAGCCAGGAATCTGCACCGTTATTCCAGAGGGAAGAAATGCCTACGAGCATGGGAAGGTGAATGTGTTGTGGCTCCTGGACGATCCTCAAGTGACTTGAATGGAAGGGAGCAACTTTCACTGATAATGAGTGTCCTAAGCTTCTTGCTGACATGAATGGGGAGACCATTGTGCATCCTGTGCACTAGGGTGCACGGTGGCCCTATATCTGAAGCTGTCAATGTCGGAGCAGATGACAAGCAGAGAAACCGAGATGGCAAGAAACGGCTTAAAGGGCTATAAAAATTTTTCAGAAACCACATCAGACCCATGAAACCATTGCGACTGTTGGTTGTCCTGAAAAGCGGTTTGTCGAATTTTATTGACTCTTATTACCATGCATACTTCAATATCTATGTTTTGTAGGAAAGTTATTGGCTAGCTTGGCTCACACAAGAGCAGGTATTCCAGAAGCAATTACGAGTTTGGGAACTGTCCAGCGGCTTTGCTATCATTTATATGCAAAGGAAGACGAGGTAAAGAGTATCTTGACTTTTGTTTTCTCTTTTGGTCAGTTCAGTTTCATTTTGCAATGCAGTTAGCTGGGGACGTGTTATATGCCTCTCACTAACACCGTGTTGCAAAATAGCTGTTCAAATGTGGAGGTCAACGACCGATAGTCTATTACACAACACCTGTTGGAGATGAGGGAGGCATTGACCAAGATCGAGTTGCATTTATAGAACTACCTTCCCAGAGAAACCTGGCCTGCCTCTCGTGTTCTCACTGGACACAAAGAAAATTAATGTTCTTATTTTGCCAGGCCTTAATTTGTTTTGTTTTCTCCTACTTTGGTTGTATGCTTTTTTAAAAAGGTAAATCGCAAAGAATTACTGAGAGAGATCGAGAGTCTGTGCAATAGAGAGGAGAGAGATTCTAATAAGTTGAGTAACTGATTTGTCCTAAACATGGGTGTTTTTTCTCTCTCCTAGGTTCGTACAGCTATGGCAAGCGCTCTGGGATATTTAACATTCAACCGAACAGCATACCGCCATCTGCTGGTTCAATGTAGGAACAAGCCCAAGTTCTTCAAGAGACTAATCACGAATCTGAGCAAAGATGCAAGAATCAATCCAGAATTTGTGAAGGAATTTAAGAGGCAAAAAAAAATTGGGCTCCCATCTCTCAGGTAACAATATAACATTTGAGACTCATGTAGTGTTTTAGAAGATTGTGACCCTGTTGTTTTTACATGCAGTCAAGTCACCTCTGACCTATGGTGAGCCTCTAAATTAGATACCCACAATGTGCTGTCCTAAACAGACCTCCTCAGCTCTTGCAAACCCAAGCCTGTGGCTTCCCTTAGGGAGTCAGTCCATCTCATATTTGGTCTTCCTCTTTTCCTGTTACCTTCAACTATTCCCAGCATTATTGTCTTTTCCGGGGAATCTTGCCTTCTCATGATGTGCCCAAAGTAGGACAGCCTCAGTTTCATCATTTTTGCCTCCAGACATAGTTCAGGCTCAATTTCCTCTAGGACCCACTTGTTCATCTGTTTGGCAGTACAAAAACATACCTGCAAAGCTCTCCTTGAGAGCCATATTGTTCTCCAATAATTTCCCTGGTTTCCATCCATAGTTCTTCTGGTTCATGGTCAATAGAATTTAGTAAAGCAAATCTAGACTTCAAATTCATCAGAAATGTTGTTTGAATTGTATTTTGGCACCATGATTCTTTTAGTGTTCTTTTTCAGATTTTTTCCCCTAGTGTTGAACATTAATAGTTCTTGATCTGTATCACAATCTGCTCTTGGTCTTGTTTGGCAGAGTGAATACATTTTCTCCATCTCTGGCTTCCAATTAATTGACCATTTGATTTCTGTATTGGCGATCTGGTAATATTCACATGTACAGCCATCTGTTTGTTTGGTTGTTTGAAGCATATATTTGCAATCAGATTGTTCCATAGTAGCTGAAATTCTGTTGCTGGGCATAAAAGGTGACAACCCAGCAACTTGAATCTTCATTTTACTTTACAGTAATTAAAAACTCCCTATCCTTGCTTTTACCCCTTCAGGTTCTGAGGATCTCTAGGGATCCCTTTTGTCTTAGAGAAGCTTTGAGGAACCTTGGAACAAGGCGTATATTTGCAATCAGATTGTTCCATAGTGGCTGAAATTCTGTTGCTGGGCATAAAAGGTGACAACCCAGCAACTTGAATCTTCATTTTACTTTACAGTAATTAAAAACTCCCTATCCTTGCTTTTACCCCTTCAGGTTCTGAGGATCTCTAGGGATCCCTTTTGTCTTAGAGAAGCTTTGAGGAACCTTGGAACAAGGGAAATTCTAATAGCAGGAAATCACTGCCAGATCACTGGCAACAGTCCCAAAATGGCCACAAGACCACTAGCAGTGATTTTCTGGCATCAAACACCCTGCCCCATTTCCCAAAGTTTCCCGAGGCTTCTCTGGAGCAAAAGGGACCCTTAGGGTGCCTCGGAATCTGAAGTGGAGGATAGGAAATTTTAAATTAAAATAAAGCTCAACATTGAAATGAAATCCAAATAATATGTATATTGCGGTTTATAGAACTGCCTTCTGTCTACATTTCCTTGGTAAGACGAAATGTCTGTCTACATTTCCTTAGTAAGAGCAACAGACCAAGAGAGTCCCAAATCTTCATTTATGACCAATGCCAAATAGCAATATAAACTGTGCCCACATATGATCTTATCAGTAAGACTTCATAGTCAGACTGAATGAGAATTCTGTTCTTGAATTCAGTAATCTATTGCAGGAAAGACAACATCTGATATCTTAAAGACTAGCACATTTATGTAGGCATGGTCATCAGATGTACGTAGCAGTAGACAACAAAGCAGTTTAGAAGCATTCAGGAGGCATAGGAAAGGTATGATGTGTTGAACTGGCCAACTGAAAACAAGAGAGTTAACAAAATCCAGCACCATTTTTCTTCTAGAATAGGTTATGAATTTTAATGGAAATGCTCCAGAGCGTTGCCTTTTAACTGTTCTTACAACCGCAACCTGATTTTCTTAAAATGTAATTCTTATTTTCAGTTTGGAGATAAATGGAGGACCACCTGCAGTTCCCGTACATATACGAGGTAATTTATACCCAACATGACTCCCACTGGCCTAGACTTTTCATAATCAGCTCTGTACTTCAGGCTAAACCGCCCTATAACCCTACTGACCCCAACAGAGGTATGCATCTGTTGCACAGATTGCACAATGTACAGTATCTGCAGATACAGGCTTTATCCCACTTGGAAACACAAGGGAATTATGTAAGAATGCTGTTCGCGGACTTTAGCTCTGCTTTTAACACCATTATACCCCACAGATTAATAGACAAACTTAAACATGTGAGCAGTCATCTGGTGGGCAATAGACAGACTGCCTCAAATCCAGAGGAGTGAGCAGCCAGTGCTGTTATCAGGAGGCAAAAAAGGAGGGGGAAACAATGGAAACAAAGCGGCAGAAAAATAAAGTTCCTGAACTGGCTATATTTATTAAGGAAAATGTCCAACATGTTCAGAAAGATCTAGAATATTTCATGGGGCAGGGAGCACATCCTGGTAACGAGCCTGAGTACTCTGAAGAAGACAGAACTATGAATGAATGAATGAATGAATGAATGAATGAATGAATGAATGAATGCACTTTGTGAACCTTCTCTTGGCTTTATATACTTAGTTTTGTTAACAGCAGCTGCAGTTCTGAAGGTTCCCTGACCTTTGGGAAACTGAATGGACCTAAGCCATTGTGAACCAGCTGCATCGCTCCCAGTCCAGTAGAGCCATGGCTCCAAATCTTGGGTAACTCAAATGTTTTTGAACTGGAACTCCCAGAAACTCTGGTCAGCACAGCTGGTGGTGAAGGTTTCTGGGAGTTGCAGTCCAAGAACACCTGGGTTACTTAAGATTGGGAGCTACTGCAATGGAGGATCTCTTAAAATTCCAATTTGTTACACCACAGAATGACCTGAAACATTTTGCCAGTGAAACATCTGGTTCATAAGAGATAAATGTTTTTATCTTGCAGATCGATCACGGAGTACTGGTGTCAAAATATACAAATCAAAATGTCATCCAAAGGATTCCCTCTTTCTGGTGCCCACGACAGCTCATCTAATGGGAAGAGTAAAGATGCTGGAAAAGCCCCGGGTTCCAGCCTCTGGGCACTATCCATTTCCACACGTTACAACATCAGACCTCATTCAAGTTTCAAGACCAAGAATTGTGAATGTCTCTAATCTCCACCATTTGTCACACAAGAAATCTTAACTATCGTGGTTATGGTGCAGTAGGAAAGAAAAACAGGAAGTGCTGCTAACCCTTAGCACACTATCATAAGTATCACTGCTGCTCCACAACAGTTTTGCACAAAGATGGAAGAAGAAAATCTGTCTTATTGATAATGCAAGTATTTGCTGAAGTGATAGGGAATAAAAGCACTGGCAATTGCATGTAATTATTTGTGTCTGAAAAGCGACTTAGGTGTTGTATTGGAAATGATCAAACAAAACTTCTTGCATAGCATGCAGTGCTACCTATAGAAATCGTCTTATTAGCATATAATGATGACATTCTTTATTGTGTTTTAGGATGCAGACCTAAGCAGTTTACTAGGAAATGAGACCCTAATGGAGTCTGTGTGCTGCGTACCTCTGAGTGATATACTGAGACTACACACTGAGCAACTCTGCATTAAAAATCAGCACGGTCAATACAGGAAAATCATCAAATCAGTTTTGCCCTCTTCTAAATAGTGTTGCAATACAAAAGTGTGCCATTTACCTGTTAGAAGACAATGCATGTGCACCAGATGTATAAAACCAAAGTTAACATAGGATTCTGATTAACTGTCCCATGATACAGATGTAAAGGCTTGCAGCAGAATCCAGGGAAAGTTAAGCAACTTTAAGGATAATTGATTTCAATGGGAGAAACCCATATGCATCCTTAACTGGTGAAACGAACTGGACTTTAAAAGTGCCAGATGACCCTAGATTGCATCTTGACAATCCCAACTTTCACTTTTTTAACTGGTAGAGTACGATATTCAAGAGGAGTCACTTAAAATAATCACATAACAATATATTTTGTACTTTTTCTGTGTGGCCTGAAGGGTCAAGCTGGAAATGGAGAATTGTGTAAAGAACTATTTCTGCTCTCTCCTTCTCAATTTGTGGCATCCTGTAGAAGTTTCCTACTCCCCACGTTAGTATTTAAACTGAAAATGATGGATTATGATGGACATACAGTGGTGCCCTGCATAGCGATGACAATCCGTGCAGCAAAAATCGCTGTAAAGTGATTTCGTCGCTATGAGGTTTTAAAAAGCCCATAGGAATGCATTGAAACCCCTTCAACGCATTCCTATGGGCTTAAAACTCACCTTTAAGCGAAAATCCTCCATACGGCCGCCATTTTTGCTGCCCGGTAAGCGAGGAATCCGGGCAAAAACACAGCGGGTGGCCATTTTTTTAACCTGTTGGCCATTTTGGAACCACCGATCAGCTGTTGGAAAATCATCGCTATGCGATAATCGGTAAGCGAAACAGGTTACCGATAATCATGAAGCAATTTTTTCCTATCTAAACCACTGCAATGTGATCGCAAAAGCGATCGCAAAATCTTCATCGCTATGTGGATTCATCGTTAAACGGGGCGCCCGTTAAGCAAGGCACTACTGTACTCATATCAAGTTACACTTGGATAACTGTGTCAGACATTGTGCTAAATAGTAATATAGTAAAAATATTTATAGCGTGGACAATTCCAAAAAGATGATTATTTTAATTTGTTTCCATAACTAAAGCTACACAGTCAACAAGTCTAACCAAGTAACCATGTACACAAATGACGGGGCCCAGAAATGGAATCTTCTCACCCCAACTTCTACTTCCACAAGTTGTTTCTACTAATCCTGCTGGAAGGGAGTGGGGCTTGCCTTCTTTCTCTTCTCATGAGTTAAGTTTAGCCCTTTATTGAACTCCTTTGCAATGTTGGCAAATCCTTAAATACCCACTTTTATGGAATAGGGTAAAATATGTAGGTTACTACAAATCTCTTGCACTGTTTTCTGTGTATTTTTCATATTGATGTCATGATTTTCTCTTTAAAATAGTATCAAAAATCTTGCTATGCAATGACATACGGAAAAGAGATTCCGTCTGAACATTGGGAAGAACTTCCTGACAGTCAGAGCTGTCCGGCAGTGAAATAGGCTGTTTCGAAGGGTGGTGGGGGTCTCCTCCTTTGGAGGTTTTTAAGCAGAGGCTGGATGGCCATCTGTCGGGGGTACTTTGATGGATGTTCCTGCATGGCTGGATGGTCTCAGTGGTCTCTTCCAACTCTATGACATAATGAATTAAAGAGGACATGATCCTGGAAGAAACTTCTATGGCATATTCTGCAAATTTGAAGTATTTTTTTAAAAAAATCAAATATCAAATTGTCAATTTTAGGGTTGGCACTCTGATGGATGCTTCTTTGACATGTTCCGATATATCAATTCCAAGAGGAGCTCTAAGAAACAATTAAAAAAATTAAATTAATATACAAGACCTTATAGTTACATTACAAAATATAGGAGGTACATATCCATCAACTGATATTGTAAGTACTTATATACGTACTGTAATTTAATTGCATATGCAGCAATCCCCAGGCATGCTGGATGTAAGCGAGGGGAAAAAACGGGTGGAACAGTTATAACACTTACTTTGTTTCATATCTCATGTTTTCCACATTGTGTAAGATACCTAATCCTGCACGAAGCTTTTCAACACCATTCCTGTAGAAAGAAAGAGCATTTGTGTAAAATACCTCTCACAGACAATTTCACTTCTGTGTCATGTCATAATGAATTCAGTACACTATTCCTGACACAGGGAACAATCTTCAGCCAAGCTCTCTATGATAAGGACAGGCAAAGGGAAGCCCTCCGGACTACACCTCCCATGAGCCTTTGCTAGCACAGAGTGTGCACAGCAGCTGTCCAAGAGTATCTGGAAAGCTGCAACGCCCCCCCCCCCCCCNNNNATCAATACAAGTCTTTTAAAATCCTTTAACTGGAGGTAGTATGGTCTCAATGTGTACAATACCCTCTTTGGCCCTTTGGCCCAAACAACAATAGGCAGCTTTTTCTCCACAAAACAGTGATGCTGAAACAGCAGTTTAAGCAAATTACATGACGGAGGCTGGGCTTCCCAATCCTGATGATGTTGTCCAGATGTGCTAATACTATAATCTCCTTCATGGCAGGATTTACAAGTCTTGCTGACTAGCATTTTTGGAGAGAAGCCAATCTAGGAAAGCTGGCCTATGCATTTTATGCAGACAGTGGCACACGTCATGAATGTACTCTATTACAGACATGAAATATGATCAGGGGCACGTATATATTGCAAAACATGTAGATCACACATGTAGCCTACATAGGGCTTCCTATATAGAAACTATATGCTCCCCACCTAAATTAACTGTGGAATTCAGTCAAAACTCAAAACGTTCTTGCTCACCATGCGATCATGACACCATTGTCAGTGCAGAGCCTTGGAGGAGGACATAGCAAGGTGGTGCCAGTGGTATCTCCTACCATCTGCAGAACTTTGCGGATATACTGATTACTTGCAACACCTCCCGAAACCACCTGAAACCAGCACGGAAAGTCAGTGGGACTCTACTACCACTTCAAGAGCTCAGTCCTACTACTCACAATAAAATGGGAGGTGGGAGCGGGAGACCACTTCTTTATGGCAATTTCAGAATAAGTGAGATGGTCCTGTTCATTTATGTACAGTGGTGCCTCGCTTTACAATTGCTCTGCATTACAACAAATCTGCTTTACGATGATCTTTTTGCGATCGCAAAACGATGGTCTAAATGGGGGAATTTCGCTTTGCGATGATCGGTTCCCTGCTTCTGGAACTGATTCTTCGCAAAACGATGACTTTTAAACAGCTGATCGGCGGTTTCAAAATGGCTGCCGGGTAAATAAAATGGCTCCCCGCTGTGTTTAGGAACGGATTCCTCGCTATACAGGCAGTGAAAATGGCCGCCGTATGGAGGATCTTCGCTGGACAGTGAGTTTTAAGCCCATTGGAACTTTTTATTTTCGCTTTACAATGTTTTCGCTTAACGGCGATTTTCCTGGAATGGATTATCGCCGTTAAGCGAGGCACCACTGTATGTATATATGTATTTATTTTACTTTCATACCACCCATCTGGTTGCAAAGCCACTCTGGGTGGTTTCCAGCATACTAGCCATCATTACCAAAAGAGACAGCATCACTTTGATGCAAGAATGTAAATTTTGCTACATAAATAATCCAGCACAAAATCCTAAAGTTTTTGGGGCAAGAGGACTGCATCTAGATTATTCTTTTGATTTGTTCCCTTTACAATTCTCTTTCTTATTCTCTATAACACTCCAAGTTTCCAATCTCTCTCTTCACTCTCTCAATTCAGAGTCCTAACTCTCCCACTTCCATTCCCTATCTCTCTCCCTTTCTCTCTATCTGTCACTCTAACTCCGCCCCTCCTGTCCTCTCATAGGCTCCTGCACCTGAGGTCCATATGATGGACAGGAGTGACGTGGGCGTTCCGCCACAATTATCATTGCTATTCTACTCAAAATCATTCTATTCACTTAGCTTAAAAGTGTTATATAGATAAGATTTATTTTTTGCTTCATTAGTTAAGACGGAACCAGTTACTATGCGACATTCCACAAAGGATAACATCTTATTAAATGACGACAGTTCTCCAAATAAATATCATGTTGTCTGGGCTTGAGCTTCCTGAACCTTTTTCACCTACAGCAGCCCCTCTGGCCCCTTTAAAAAGTTACGCAGAGGGTCAAGAAATCTTGCTGAGCAAGATGAGCTGTGCTGCAAGAGTGGATTTCCCAAAGAGCCCTTCAGTTCTTAGAAAGCACATCTGGTTCCATCGTACTGAAGAAATGGTGTTACTGAAATATAAAAGAGGTAACAAGCTCTTACCAAAGTTGCCTTATTTTGTGGCAAGAGCCCTTTTTCTTTGCAGAAGAGGATGGCCCGGTGGGTTCGCCTCATAATGTGAATGGTTAACGTGTGTTGGATCGCTGCAGCAAGGTCCGAGACGCAGGAGAGGAGCTGACCTTCCTGAAGACCTGTAGAAATTGCGACGAAATGCATTTTCCAAGCATATGTGCCACGGACCTCATTCTGAATTTGTGTTAGGACTATTTTAGGAAATACCTTCTGCCTTTTCTTCCTGTTCAATCGCTCTCACCACTTGGCTTTGTAGCCCAGAAAAGGAAAAGTTGCAATTGAAATGCCTCTCCATGGGAGATGTGAATTCATACCGCAGCCTATTCCCCTGCTGGGCCATGTGTTCGATCGCTTGTCCACCACTCAAGTCAGAGCACTCTGGGTGCTTTCGTAAATACAGTCTCTGTGCTAACTTTGAAACAAAGAAAAGAGACGGGAGAAACAAAGAAGAACAGAAATCAGAATCCTGTATTTTCTTAAGCCACCAGAAAACAATAATAAACAGAGAAACCCTGTAAAGAAGAGGTGGCAGCTCAAGAAGGGCACGGACTGCTGGTTTGGCAGGGTTTGTTTCCTGGTTGAATGGCTGATCTGTGGTTCGGCGCCCCATCCCCTCCAGCAGGTGACCCCGTGCTGCCACTGAGTGGGTGACCACTGGAGGGGGTGGGGTACCAAACTGCAGATCAGCCATTCAGTTGGGGAACAAATCGTGATGAACTGTTGAACCAGCGGTTCGTGCCCATCTCTAGTTGTCGCCTCTGCTTTACAGGGTTTCTCTGTTTTTCTAGTTGCCCACTGTTTGGAGAAGGGATATGATTTTGTACATGAGAATGCAGAGAGAATTTACAGTGGTGCCTCGCTTTACGATTGTCCCGTATTATGATGATTGCGATCGCAAAACGATGGTCTGAGTGGCTTTTTGGTTTTTTTTTTGGGGTTTTTTTTGCTTTGCGATGATCGGTTCCCTGCTTCGGGAACCGATTCTTCGCAAAGTGACGATTTTCCTCCAGCTGATCATCGGGTTTCAAAATGGCCACCGGGTAAATAAAATGGCTCCCCGCTGTTTTCTGGGATGGATTCCTCGCTGCACAGGGACCAAAAATGGACGCCCTATGGAGCATCTTTGCTGGACGGTGATTTTCCAGCCCACTGGAACACAATAAAGGGGTTTCAATCGTTTCAATTGGCTTTTTATTTTCGCATTAAGTTTTCATTCTACAGTGATTTTGCTGGAATGAATTAACGTTGTAATGCGAGGCACCACTGTACCTGGATATCAAGTCCAAGCATGAGTGTGTGTTACCGAGCAGCTCCACTGTGCGATCATTGAAATGTAGCTATGGTGCAGTTCAGATGTAGCAAAATTAGGACAATAAACCACAGTTTGTGGAACCAAGAAAGCATTTCATGTCAGAGTGCCCAGCTCACATCCTTCCCCGGATCTGACACCCTTGCTAGTCAGCAGAGATTAAGCACAGGCAACCAATCTCAGAGATAAGGGGAAATTGTGGTTTAAGTGCATTTGAATAGAATTATCAAAGTCAGATATGCTAAGGAAGGGATAAGACGATTCACTTGGACCCAAGGTAGATTTAAAGCCCAATATGTCATGTTTTATTGGGTGAGATTATTTTATTTCATTCTATTTGAACTGGGCCTCTGTGTCGGCAAAACGGGATGCCATACAAGCCATCGTGTAGCCAGGCAAGAAAGGGGAAATGGCACAAATTGTACAGAAACAGCAGTGTCCTCATCCCCTCAGAAAGGAAGACCGGCTGCACACCTGTACGTGTGGGGCTTATTGGGGGGGGAGAAACAGGGTTCTCTATGTTGCAGAAAATAATAGTCCTGCAAAACTGAGTCAGATGAGAAGAATTACCTTATCCAATACATCCCCTGGTGCAGTGTCCAATGTTTGTCCGAGGAGAAGAAAATCTGAAATTCCTTGCGCTACTGCCAATATGCAATGACCTCCAGATAGCAGTAGTACGAGGAATGGAAACTCTATAGGGTGGATCAGTCTAATAGTAAGGGCATGTGCCTCCATATGATGGATGGGGATGAAAGGTTTTTTGTATTTTTTCAACAGTTGTAAACTATATGCCAATCCAACTTCAAGACTTAAACCAATGCCTGGTTTGACCGTTGTTGCAATGGCCGAGAGCTCCTCCATAGAAACCCCACTGGCGGAGAGGGCTTGTTGTACTATCCTTGCAATGTTTTCCTGGTGAAGTTGTTGAGCGACCACAGGAACAATTCCACCTGTTCTGAAAATAAACAAAATAGGGAGGGAGGTACACAGCATCTGCCTCCAAGGAGAAACAACTTGCTACCAAGTGTTAACACGGTTTCCTTATACAAGCATAAGTCGATAACAATATTCTGGCTGATGCTCCTTTAGAGGTCAAAGGGATTTACGATATTCTGAGGGACCTTTTCGGGTTTTGAGCAGCTTTTGGTAATGCTCACCACAACCTGTTAATCTTGTACAGTTACCCCGCATGACAGTTTTTTTGCTAGACATTGACTTTTTGCGATCGTTATAGCGATTCGCAAAACAGTGATTCCTATGGGGGAATTTCACTGGACATTGTTTGGTCCCTGCTTCGCAAACCAATTTTCGCTAGACTACGATTTTGTCAGCTCCCTCTGCGCTCGCAAAACAGGTGTTTTCGGGACCTAAGCTTCACAAGACAGCTATTTAAACGGCTGATCGGCGGTTCGCAAAGCGGCTTTCCTATGGCCGATCTTCGCTAGACAACAATGATTCTTCCCCATTGGAACACATTAAACAGGTTTCAATGCATTCCAATAGGGAAATGCTTTTTGCTAGACAATGATTTCGCTAAACAGCGATTTCAGTGGAATGGATTATCATCATCTAACGAGGCACCACTGTAACAGGAATCAGTGGTGGCAGGGGGTGTGGGGGCAAGGCTCTGTAAAAGCCATCTTGGAGGGCTGCCCTCCTCTGCTTCAGGTCTTCTCCTGTGGGGTGCAAGATGGCTGCAATGTATACCCTCATTCCCCTGTCATGTGCACAGGATACTACTGAGCAGAAACATCATTTGAAAATGCCAAAGGCACCTAACTCTCCTCTCTCCTCTGCTGACTGAGGTCTTGTACTTATATTTAAATCCCACACATGGGAGGCCTTTTAAGCAGCTGAGCACACACTGCAAGCTAAATTCCAGAGGCTTTATCACTTATCTGAGATGAGAGGTTGCTTTGTGTTTAACTATTTACGCTATACACTTATTGCCTATTTTTATCCATTTGGTTTTCAGAGCATTATTCCCCCCCAACTTCCACGCACAGTTCCCCCAGTTATTACGCCTAAGTGCCTGACCCTAGTTCCATGTGTTCTCATCAGTCTTTTTTTTAAAGTATTTTCTGCTGGCCCAGGGATCTCACGACCAACGTTTATCGTTGTTACCTGAAAGGCTGGCTGTCACCACCATGCACTTTGTGGGCCTACTCTTCAAGAGCACTCTGGAGAGCCAACTGATCGAAAATGAGATTGTTCATCAACTAGGACAGGAAGGGCCTATTCTGCCATATACAGCCTGCCTATTAGTTTCCACAGCTGACGAAAGCCACTGATTCTCACATATCAGTCCAGAAACACCCTAAGAGCTGCACATATCAATCAGGGGAAGAATCCTAATATGAACTATCTGTTCATTAAAATCAGAGTACCCACTTCAGAAATCATCCTCTTGTCTAGCAAAATATACCGCTGTACCAAGACATGTTTTTAAAATAATGGGTCAAATATTGTCGAATGCTTTCTCTAGAGGCCGCCCAAAGCTCAACTATGCAAGATTTCATACGATGCATTTTAAGAAAGCACTTTCTGTTGCTGTTTCAACATTTTACATGAACGATACAAATTAAGATTTTAATACATGACTTATTTCCACCACCACCACCCTCTTTTTACCTCTTTTATTCATTAAGTGCTTACACTGCAATCCATTTAACTCGATTGTGAAATGGGACATTTTAAGACTCAAGTACCAAAAAAAAATTAATAATAATAATTTCAAAGTATATTTGGGTAGAAACTAACCCTTAAAGAACCTGGATTTTCTATCAGACTAAATGTTTAAGGATCAACATATTTAAATATTTTAGCACATACTTAAAAGAAAAGATTGATATGTAACTCCAATGCACCAGGATTTTGAAAAAAGGCAGTAAATGATTTGATGGGTATTTTCTACCTCCAATGTTCCAATAGACTTAAGAGTGGGTTTACATTAAAGTGAGATTTGTGGTTAGAGTTTCAAATGCTTTTCTTTTATTTCCCAGCACTACTGAGAATTGCCATGGGTCTCTTCCACCTCCTGCCCCTACAACCTGGATCCAAAATACCAAGAATCACCAGAGCATGTGCTTTTTTACTTTATCTACATCATGATTTCCCAAATTCATCAAATGGGACATTTTTTTAAACTCCATAAATTACATTGGCTGGGCCAAAAAACAAACCAACCAACCCAATGACAAAAAGAAATAGATTTATCGGATCAGATTTTGTCTTGTTTGTTTTTTGTTTGTTAAGAAAACTCTGCACATGGCAAGTGGCTTAAACTTCAGGGTTTTGTTCAAGTGGAAATACCATAGAATGGCTACACTGTAGTCCCAGTTTTGTGTGGATATACAACTCCAAAGGTGTAAAACATCCCACTCTGCGGAAAAAAAAATTCTAAACAGCACCTAAAACAATATCTTCACCAACAGAAAAATCTACTTACTTTAAATGAACTGTATTTTGAGAATGCAGTGCTTCTCCTAAAATGTTGCCTCTTTCATCCAGCACCGCAGCTCCTGTATCATCACAGCTAGTTTCTATGCCTAGAACGGTTTTAGTTGAAAAATATTTCCCACATGGAACCGAGATCCTTTTCAAACAATTACTCCAGCAACATCTCGGGGCCTTTGACGTGGCTTGCCCTCCAAATCTTCTCAGTATTGAAGACGTCTGTAGACAAGCATGCCAGGAAAAGAGCTGTAGAAAAACAGATTTGAGAATGTCATGCCTTGTGATCGCTACCACCCCCAGGCTCTCCACTCCTTAGCAAAAAAGTGGTAAGTTTGGACATTAACAGCTCTCCTGTTGCAGCATGGAAGACGGTGCTTGGAATGGCTGGGAGATGCTCCCCAGTGCGAGAGTAAATATGGAACAGAAATCACACTGCTGAACTTGCAGGCCCATACATCAGGGAAGCAATGACCACATGTATATACACAAACACACACAACCCACACGGAGGCACACATGGACTGCATGAGCTGGATTCTCTTCTTTCCGGCAACAGGAGCTTTTTGTAGAAAGCTGTCCCACATGTTTCTTTAATACCCTGAATGAGCACTCTCATGTATAGATGATTAAAACCAAGGATAGATGTATGTGATGATGCCTCTGGGTCACTTGTAGTACCACCATTCTGTGTCAAAAGACAGATACTAAATAGACGCTAAAAGATTTATTCAAGATCACCAAGTTAATCTAAGGCCATGCTGATTTTTTTTAATCAACTCTACTTTCTTCTCAGAGATTCCAGCAGATCTCATGTTTCCAAAACTGATAATGTAAGACCACCAAACTCTTAATATATGTACATAGCAACAGCAAATCTCATGTGGGCAGGATTTCAGTCATGCAACCAGACGTATTGTCCTTCCCTCTCCAACCCTCACTAAATATGGTCCAAAAGACAACCACTGGGTGCCCCCAATATTGGACATGCCATTTAATGCTTCTAAGCTTTTTTTAAAAATGCTGTCCTCTTGCTGCCAAGTACATAATACTTTAGCAAGGATAATATCTCTACATCCAATCAGATCTTGAAGCAAACCCAGTGGTAAGTTTTTCAATAATTTCCTCCAGCATCAAAACCAAGGTCCAAAATAATTACTTAAATCTAATTTAATAGTACTTTATTTTACGGCTTTGAAAAACAGATATCACTCATTTGTTGAGCAGGATTCAGGAATCTTTCTTCGAAGGTGTGAGAATATTATTTTCCTCATATTCAGAAAGCGAGCCAGTAGCAATATTATGCTACTGGGACACACATGCTACTCCCCTCTGCTAGTATGTTAAGTGTTTGTTGCAAGTAATGTGTGGGATGAGACTCTATGAGTATCACAGGCCCTCTAGTAGATACTTCAGTCAGTGGATTGCTCTTCTGTAAAATAGTGAAGGTGAGTCTTCTTAGTGGTGGCCCCTGCCTTCTGTCAAGGCCCCATATAACTCTGGATGCCAGCTGAAAACATACTTCCTTATACAGTGGTGCCCCGCAAGACGATGTTAATCTGTTCCATTGAAATCACTGTCTTGTGAAAACATTGTCTTGCAAAAAGCGTTTCCCCTTTGGAATGCATTGAAATCCATTGAATGCGTTCCACTGGGGAAAAATCGTTGTTGTTTTGCGAATATCGCCCATAGGGAAGCCATTTTGCAAAGCGCCGATCAGCTGTTAAAATGGCTGCCTTGTGAAGCATCGGTCCCAAAAACACCCGTTTTGCGAAGCGCCGATCAGTGTCAGAATCATCGTCTTGCGAAAAATGGTTTGCGAAGCATGGACCCAAACATCGTCCAGCGAAAATTGCCCATTGGAAACACTGTTTTGCGAAGCGCTATAGTGATCGCAAAACCTCACCATCATGCTGATTCGTCTTTTGCGAGGTCATTGTCTAGCGGGCACCACTGTACACTGTTTTCCTACCTGCTTGTGACTGCTCTGCTGACTGTTTTTAGAAATATATATTACTTCTAAAATTGATCTAGATCGGTTTTATATTAGGTTAAATATTAATTTTAATGTAAATTCCATACAGACTTTTCTATATCAAGCAAATTACAAGAAGAATTAAATAAGAAAATAAAATAGCCATGTGTTTCTCCCATTGTAATGACAAGCTACATTGCTACACAATCAATACATAGCCTTCCCAATTTATAAACTTTAATGTCTCAGTTCTCTTGTTTAGCACAAATGATTAATGCCTTCGGCATGGCTGTGTAAATCTTAATGTGAACAGGACAGAGAGCAGACCTATTGCATGGTCTAGAAAACACTTCAGACTAAACCACTAGAGTAATCATGACAAAGCTGAAGAAAAAAACTATCCTTTTCTTGCACAATAAAGCTAAGTGTTATGGCAAGTCAAACTGGCAGAGCACCTGGGAACATAAATGAATAATAAAAATTGAAACCAGTCCCTCATACATGGTTGTCCATAATGTAAGACTATTTCAACGTTTACCTGTGTCAAAAACATGGTGTTGACATAGATCTATTTTCTTTTGTATTCTTTCAATTCAGACTTCACATTTCACAGCTACCTAAGATGAAGAGACAAATTAAGTTGTAAAATATATTCGCGAAGGCTTTCACGGCTGGGATCTAATGGTTGTTCTGGGTTTTTCGGGCTCTTTGGCCGTGTTCTGAAGATTGTTCTTCCTGACGTTTCGCCAGTCTCTGTGGCCGGCATCTTCAGAGGACAGCAACCAGAGCACACAGCGCTGTCCTCTGAAGATGTTGGCCACAGAGATTGGCAAAACGTTAGGAAGAACAACCTTCAGAACATGGCCAAAGAGCTCAAAAAACCCAGAACAACCATAAGTTGTTAAAACTTTGGAACATGCACTGGCAATATTGTTTCCTGAGATACATTCCCAGAACACTATGGCTAAAAATATGTGCAATTTAAAAAAATTTAATTGCAGTGGTTGCCATATACAATGGACAAACAGTGGAAGAAATCCGCCCCCCAACCCCCCACCCTTGCTCCTTTCAAGCAATACATATCAGCAAAGACTGTGGGGGGGGGGGAACCTATGAAGCAGACGTGAGGGGCACAAAAGGGCCACAGCAGAAAGAAGGAATACTGTTGCACTGAAGGTTTTTATTCAGAAGGAGAGAGCCTCCCTCCTGATATACCGGTAATTTTATTGTTAAAGGAGCAGTCGCAAAAATGGTGTGGTCTCGAAGGTCCTCTCTGCCCAGGACTCTTTTTCAAACTGCAACGGAAATGACAGCCCTCCCCTTTGGTTTATCGCCAGCACCCATTCTACAGAGGCACAACGTTCTAGCACCAAAACTACCGTGTTAAATGTATAACATGTAATTTAGGATCACTTTTTGGTTTGTTTCTTTACTTTCAATTAAACAATTAGGCTTATTTTGGGGGTAGGGTTTATATTAAATGCATCCTGAAAAATCATACTAGGGCTTATTTTCAGGTTAGGTCTTATTTTTGGGGAAACGGTAAAACTCCATCACATGTGTGTGACTGTAACGATCAGGGCACTTCGTGCCTACCTGAGAGTAAAAAGGGCAGTGGGGTATAAACTGCACACTACACAGGGCAGCTTATTCGACAAGAGAGAGAAAAAATGTTGTCTGACATACTTTTTATCTCTTCCGTATCTTGAATAACAAACTGCGCAAGAAACAATGAAAAATTCCTTTTGCTGATTTGTGATGCCGAGCATACAGACTCTTACAGTAATTTCTTATTTCACTTGCTCTTGCCAGTGGGAAAGGACCACAAGCTCAGTAAAAAACAAACATGACATCAGTCTGAGACTACATGCAAATAAATATTGCTTCTTAGATTATATAAGGCCACAAAGAGTTTTTCAAAAACGACCATACACGTTAAGCCCCAAGGAGCTTTTTTTCAGAAGGAAATTACAGATCTGAAACAACGCATACAGTAGCAGTCTTCTGCATGGGGTGCTGCACAAATACTCAGCTGCCGCCACACAACCATGCAGTACCTGCCCGTACAAGTTTAATGCTACATATCTGGCAGCCTCAAGGGAAATGCTGTTACTGTATATACAACTATGCATCACTTATCGATCAGTTATTCTTTCAGAGCTCAAAGGCTGACAGCACAATCCTAAATGTTTCAACTCAGGCATAAATCCCACTGCGTTCAATGGAACTTAATCCAAGGTATCTCTGTGCAAAGTTGCAACTTCAGAGCAAAAATATATAATCTAATATAACAGCATATAATCTATAACAAATAGCAGAGTACAGTAGTACCTCAGTTTATGAATTTAATGTGTTCTCTGGGATGGTACGTAATGTGAAAAATTTGTAAACCGAAACCCAGTTTGCCATGGGAATGGGGGCGGCGCTATAAACCTACAAGTACAATGCATCCTGGGGAAACTTCCTCTGTACTGTGGAAAAAAATTGTAAACTGAGGCATTATTTTCAAGGGATTTCTGTTTGTAAACCGAAAATTACGTTAACTCAGGCGTTCGTAAACCGAGGTGCTACTGTAAACACAACATCCTAAAAACAACAGATTAATTAAGTAACAAAAATGGATTTTAGATGTTTCAACAAATTAACTCATTTTCTCCTACCCTGCAAATAAAAGTAGAAAAGGCAAGAACACCTAGCTTTTTACATGATTTAAAGGGCACTTTGTTATTTTTGTTGCTGGGCAAAATTCAGCATCAAAGCCAGAAACAGACACTAGAGGTAGCCTGTAATTAGAGCTGACATTTATTGCAGACAAGTGAATAAGGCAGTCTTTCTATGTCTATGAGTATGGAATCAGATTTAAAAGGAACACTGTACAGTATTTAAATCCTGAGGACTAGTCATCAAACAAAGCAACCTAATCTAGATGATCCCAGAGATTAGAGAAGCTCATGTTGTAACATTCCAACATCCAAATTAGTTAATATTTCCTTCTCCCAGTCACAGGTTATCTCTGACATCTGTACTTGCCTGATGAGTAAGCACCCAAAAGAATGACTGAAAACTATGAATAGACACTAGTCCCTTCAAACATTTAAATATCACAAATGCTTCACAATATGATTCTTCTCACCTAGGTTAATTACTCATTTGTATGTGAAGGACATCTATTTTATTAGCTATGGTTCTTACACCATTGTTTCTATAAACGTACCATTGTTTCTATAAACGTATCTTTTGACTTCTGTCCCTTAAATGCTACTATCTCTCTTCAAAGCTATTTTAAGTGGCTTCAACTGAGCTTTGAAGGACATTATTTTCAGAGTTTCTGTCAACTCCATTTTCGTACTGTCAGACTAGTGTTGAGCTCTGTTTTTTACCTTCCAGATAATAAGAGTTGGAAGTATTCATTTCTCATCTAATTGTTTTTAACATACAGTACTTGATATATTCAGGTGAGTGCCATTTTGTCATTTTTATGACAGGCCTGTACTTTTGCTAAGTTTACAGGCAGTACTCTTTCCAACATATCTAGTGGTTTATTTATGGGCAATGGTATTTGAGCTCTTTTGAGCTCTCTGTTCTGTTCTTATTGTTTGATAGCATAATGGGGGAAATGGCAGGCCTCTGCTAGCAAACAATTTTGCTGCCCTAGCTTTATGGTGGATCACAGGCAAAATATTTAAAAATTGAAGTATTAAAAAAAAATCACTGCCATATCACCACCTGCAGTCCTGATCCTGGTAGGGAATGATTACTATTAAAGTGTCCCCGTCCCCCCCGGCTTCCCCAGGACCAAAGGGAGGCTCAAACCTAAAAGGAGCAGGATAGGAAACTTTGAATACTTGTTTCCAGTGAGGGATCTGGATTATGCTGCATAAAGTTACTCCTACAGGATTTTGTTTGGAGCAACTATGAAGTAAGGGCAGCTATAAAGGAAAAGAATCTTAAGTGTAAGGAGATGTTACTGGAGAAGGAGACCAGACTCATCCATGATATATTTCTCATTACTGTGTATAAATATTAAACAGCTGAACAACGAAGAAAGCTCAAAGGAAAAATCCATTCATTCAAAATGCTGTGCTGGAGGATAGTTTTACCTGTACCACAGATTCCAAAAAGATCCATAACAGGGTTCCAGATCAAATCAAGCTTGAATAGTGTCTGATGGCAAGACTCACTGGAAAAGACAATAATGCTAAGAAAAGTGGAAGCCCCCTGGAAAAATGGGGAGCCCTATCGTGAAATAGGCTGACTCCATAAAGGACACCGGAAGCCCCCAATTAAGGGCAGGATCTCCTGGAGGTCAGCTCCTTCACAGCATTTGTTTGGTTCTTTTTAGCATCTCTATTTTCAGCATTGGACACTCACTGTTGTTAGCTTCAAATATTGTCTTTTAATGATGTACGCCGTCTTGGGTCCATTTAAGGAGAACGGCGGGGTAAACATGTTTTAAATAATTAAACAAATAAGGGTCGCCCTATGTACATTGTTGTACATTTAATTGCACGTTTATGCTATCTCGTAGATTTAACTGCATGTAAATCTGTGGTCTAATCCGTGCTCTTGGGTACAGTTTGATCGGCTGTAAAGCAATGAAGTATTCGTAACTGCATTTGTTTATCGCCCCGCAGGGGGTGTGCGTCTGTGCGCGTGTCAGCCGAAGGTACTGTGTCAGATCTACGTAGGGCACGTGTCGTTCCCCGGGCACCTCTGAGGTCGTCCAGAGCGCACGGCCTCGCCCCCTGTCCCGACGTGAAACTAGTCCCAGGTCGCCTCTTCCTCGCCCCCTCTCCCCCCCTTGCACCCGCGGCTTCGCCCACCTGCCCGCGCCCCTCCGGCTCCTCAGAGGTTAACTGGCCGCTCGCGAGGCCCACGGCCATCCCCGGGAAGGAGGCAGGCCCACGTGAGCAACACTAGACCAATGGCCTAGGGAGCGGAGACGCACAAGGCGGGGGCGGGGATTGAACGGCCTGGGTTCCAGAGGAATTGTGGGAGTTGGAGTCCAGGAACGCACAAACAGAGACCCACCCCACCCCTCTCTCTTCTCTGTGGAAGGCGCCCTTTCTTTCGCGTCGGCATCTTTGTTCGAGGGGGGGGAGGGGCGCAGCGCGAGGAGCCTCGGCTTGAAGCCCTGGATTTATATTCGGGGTGTGTGTGTGACCCCCTTTTGCTACAGCCTGAGCTGTTTGGCCTTAAGCCTTCCCTGGGACTCAAGCGCCGGTCATAGAACCTCCCGTCCCTTTCTTAAGGGAATCGCGACCAGGAGGAAGACTAGCGGCCAGCCGTGAGAAGAAGAGGAGTTCGGAAAGAAGAGCAGGATCCACTGCGCCTTGCTTCAGGACTGGAGGCGTCCCCTTCTGTTGCTCCATCTGTTTATTCATGCCAGTCCTGCAAGCCTTACGTTTTCGTTAACTCTACACTTTTTGCGTGTAATAAGAGTAGACTAAGCAGCAGTGCCAGAAACCTGGAAAATGCAAGGGTTGCTTAATCGTCAGCCCTTGGCGCTCCCCTCATCTTCTACATGCAGCCTGTTAATTATAGGTGTGAGGAGCTTTGGCTTCTCCAGATGCTGCGCTTACAACTCCACCCCAACATGGCAGTGGCACCAGAGAGGATGAGAACCATCAGCCAAATTGTTTGAAGGGCCTACACTCACTGCACCCGGACAGGACTATCCTATACACTTCCAGTAGGGTTAAAATCCTATTGGTTTTGGACTTGTCTCTTGCCAGAACTCCTTTTGTTCAGAGACTCTGTTACCTCAGAGTTGTTTTCATAGATAACCAAGCGAGTGGGAAAGAGTGTATGCCTAATCCCACTGACCCCGACATCTGCTGGTCACCTAGACTTACCCAATTATGGGTATCTAATGGTGGCGGTGGGCTGCAGAAGGTGGCAGATTTGTTTTTCAACCAAATTTACTGTGTTGCCCAGTCTGATGAAGAGTTCTGAAGTATTCAGAACAAGTGTGTGTACTCTTTTAGTGGCCCTATAAAGTTTTCTGACTAATAAATATTTTACTTACCTTTCATATCAAATGTAGGGCTAACATCACTAGTAATCTATGATAAAATCATAGATTACTCAGAGACCTTTGAGTAGTATGGGCGGCATATAAATTAAATAAATAAATAAATAAAAATCAGTTATTAACAGGTTTAGGAAAAGGACACAAACTTTAGAAACTACACAGAAGACATAATTTCATTGGGTTTGTGCCCTACCCTTTCACTTTTACACAGAGACGGCATAAAACGTTAATTAAGCAAACAGATAATAATTTAATCCAGAATAGATATATCAGATCATTAAATGTTCTTCAGGGGCTGATTGGAAAACACGATTTTTCAGTTGCAGTCTTTGGTTCCTATCTACTCTTTGAAGTGAACTAGCAAAGTTTGTCAGGATACACCCTCTTCACCCTTTGCAGCATATAATCCATACTGGTACCACTGTTGGGTGAGGGAAAGTGACATTGGTCTGTAGGCTCCATCAAACATATCATTTTACATCATTCAGTGCACAGAGTACATCATTCTTTGCTTTATGTGTGAGGACAATTGGACAAGTTTCAAGGCAGATTCTTCTTGTTCCTCCTTACCTTGAATGACTTCTCTACTAAGCCTACCCACAAAAACTGTCCTCTGCCATGGGTCCTTGGAAGGACCAAGAGAGTGAGAGAAACAAAGCTTGCTTCTATTTGGCATGCGAATAGCAAATCAAAAACATGAGCAAGGCTTCTCCAGAACTGTGCTGTACACACGATTTATATACAGTAGATGGCTCATTCTCAGGAAAGCTGCTACAGTATATAGAGAAGATTCACATGACTGACAGAAATAGTGTTAATCCTGGTGAACAGTATTTCTAAGAGACATCCCTTCTGCAAGGTAGCGGTGACCTGTTATATTCATTTGCAACTGAAACTATGTGATGCATCAATTACTTTAAAAATAATTCAAAGACTTCTCAGGACAAATTATTTTAATTGGAATAGACCAGACTTCGGAGGGAAACGTCAAGACAAACAGAAAAAAAAAACCACATCGGCATCTTATACAGTTGTTGAAAACGCTCCTTATTCTCTTCTGCTCATCTGGCTTAGTGTTTTAACACTAGCCCGACATTGTATCTATTATTCTATTTAACCCCCCCCCCTTGAAAGCACAACAGCAGTCTGTTATGCTTACAATATTTTGCTACAAGGAACTGCACTTACAGTGTACTATATTCATACCATCAGTCTCCAAGTCAGTTACTCGAATAAACATTTTCTTCAAAATACCTTTTCAGAAAGCAAGAGTAAGAAAGGAAGTATAACTTCCTGAAAGTAGCCGATTACTGTATTTTTCGCAGGCCATAATCCCTGTGGACTGGATCTCAAGAGTCCCTGTGGCACAGAAGCAAGACTAGTTAGGCCATCGTGATGAGGCAATCTTAAAGACAGGAAGGTATATCTCATTACTAGCATGTCACAGCCAGTTCAACAGGGACACGTGGTTCTCCCTACAGTTATATATACAGAGAACATCTGGCAGTCACTGCATTACAGTGTTTCTCTGCATGCCAATGCCTGGTGTGGTTGTAGCACTCAACACTAAAAATCCAGGACTTTAAAGCTACCTCTAAAGGTAGAACATTTGACAGATACATAAAATTTAAACTAAAGTCTTATCAGGCACACTTAATTAACTGCTGAAAAATTCTCAACATTGGATACAAAGTACAAGAGGAAAGAAACCAATCAAGTTCTTTAAGCTCAAATGCAGAAATCTTATGAGATTCCACATATCAAACTGAACTTGTGGTTTGAGGTACCTGTTACTTGAGAATTCTCAGTAGTGTAACATTTGCCACTGCAGAAAATATTCCCACTAACAGAAATACTAGATTTCTTTCTACAAGCAATCTAGCTATACAACCAGATTTAGCAGTTTGCGTTGGCTTACGCAATGTTTTCCCTTACGAGCCCAGATATTTAAAGATTGCTAACACAAAAAAGAGCCCAACTCTACACTTATAAAGAGAGAGAGAAGCATACACACAGATCTCAGATATTCTACAAGGATGGAAAATCAGCAAAACAATGTTGATCAGTTCAAATTCATACAAAAAACAAACTTTGAGGTTGATGCATCATCCCCCTGAGGTCTGATATCTAAAACGGGAGAAGTCATTATGATTAAAGGTCACATGGATAGATAAGGCGTTGAATCCATTACAACTTAGTCACAGCAATTTGCTAGCTTAATATTAACCTGGCACCACCCGCTGATAGACAAAAAATCCCAGATCAGGAAACAGCAAAAAGAGAATCACTCAAGAAGCAATAACTGGCTACTTTACAGCAGTTAAACTATATCAACCTCTCCAATTAATGCACTCTGCATTACCATAACAGACTTGTTTCTGAAACATCACACTGATTTTTTCCCCAAAGTACTCATACCCTTTCTGCAGCTTGTGTGTTAGCACTACTCTAACAGTGCTAGGCCTGCCCAGCTCCTGAAGCTAGCTGTCCAAAGATATACTGCTCAAGTTTTAATACATCTTCAGAAAGTCTGTTTCTCTCCTACACAGCTTTGAAAGAAAAGCATTTACGTCTTAGGAGTAGAAAGTCACACTGCAGGCCACTAGGTAAGTGGCATCACAAATTCTTCCTTCCACCAAGGAAAAAGGCAGTTACGCCCCGTTTTGGTCCAGACGCTCTCAGTTTCAGGTATCTTGTTTAATATTTGTTGATTCCAAAAATTCTGACTCCATGAAGTTGTGGCAACTTAGGAATAAGCACACTCAAGAGAGAAGCTGTATTCAAGATGAAGTGGGTTGGATCATATTTTGTGTAGAAGCTTGCCAGGAAATACCTGAGGGATGGGGAAACGCACACATACCAAAAGTCAGTATTGGTTACAAGAGGACATTTGGAAAGGCAGAATGGAAGACTTTTTCTGGATTAAAGAAATATAGAAAACTCTCAATTCTATATCAAATTTCAGCAAAAAAAGTATGTAGTATTACAGGACATTCCCCAATGTCTTGCTTCATATTATAATGTACGTAGTTGTGTTGGAAGCAGATTCTTTCAAGCACTCCAGATTTAGCAGAATATTTTGCTTTAGCCTTATTTAGCTATTCTTACCCAGTCGCTCTATAAACGTGTACATCAGACACATGTAATTTAAGCAAGAAGGCCGCTATTTACTTGCCTTGAAGTAGCTTCTTGGATTTCCAGCACAAGGATTTTGAGTTACACTTTCCCAAAATTTACTCATTTTACCTTCTGTTGAAGCTGCTCTTCCGTTAGCAAAGCTACTAACAACTAAGTACCTACCAAAAGCAATGGAATGTCTAATATGTAGAACCAGAGTATGAAAAGTGTTTTATTATATTTACACAAGATGAACAATAAATACATTCTTGAAGTTTACTATGTTGAAATGCAACCCCATCCAGCTAGTTAGCTTTGTTTCACTTTGCTTAATCAGGCTTAAACATGTTTAACTTTGACTGCACTGTGCCATTAAGTAAAAGCACCATGCATTATGCTGTTATTGTAAAGTACTTTTTCCAAGTGCTCAGGTTAACATGTACATTACATCAGAAATCCTTAAATTGTTAGGTAGCCAGTATGTAGATCGTGGGGAGGCAGCAGCTCAGATACTCTGGCCAAAATTGAGCAGTGACTCACAACTGGGTTCACCAAATGTCCACTGATTAAATGGGTCTACTCTAGTTGCACTTTACTACTGGATTTCAGGCGTTGAATTCCCTATGGCCACCTGGGGACTTCGAGTTTATAATCTATTCTTTACTATGTTACATTTATTTAAAAACCAGCATATCTAAAACATCATTCTGCTGAGTCTAGATGTGTCAGGTCTCTCAGTAACGCATTTTACACTACCTAGAGAATTGGTCACGAATAAATCTCTGCATTGTGGAGTGTGTTTCAGGGCCCATACTCCACATTCTGCAATGCTAAACTGCTTGTTTTAGAATCTGGATGCTGATTCATGATAGACTGAGTACCACTCTACCCTTAATAGGTCCTTCGGAATTCTGACTGGTTTATAATACGATAGATGTATATTGCATTCATTTAAGTTAAAACTGGATGAAAGATTAAACAGGAAAGCATCTAATTAAGACTTAGATAGTTATATCATAAAAATAGTAGTTATCTTTCTAAAGAGTGAAGAAAAAGGATTTCCTTCTGGTGCATGCATAAATTAACAGGATTAGCAAGTAAACTGGGGAAACCAAATCAAATGGGGAATCAACAGGAAAATTCTACAGCACAAGCAGATGTCCACTTCAATGCTGGATGTCACTCCTTCATTTAATGGCATTCGGTTCAAGTATACAAACCTTGATACAGTGGTGCCCCGCTTGACGGCGATAAATCCATTCCGTTAAAATTGTTGTTAAGTGATATTGTCGTCAAGCGAAAAAAAATACCATTGAAATGCATTGAAAACCAGTTCAATGCGTTCCAATGGGCGAAATACCTCACTGTCCAGCAAAGATCCTCCATAGGGGAAGCCATTTTTGGTCGCTGTCTTCTGGTAATAGGTCCGGAAAACAGCGGGCTGTCATTTTGAAACCCGACGATCAGCTGTTTTTGATCGTCGTAATGCGAAGAATCGGTTCCCGAAGCAGGGAACCGATCGTCGTAAATCAGATTTTCCCCATTCAATCATTGTTTTGTGATCGCAAAAACCTCATTGTGAAGTGATTTTGTTGTGCAGCGGGGTAATAGCCAAGCGGGGCACCACTGTACAAGGTGTAATATTGTAGCAGTGACATATATAATAAATAAGACTTTGCCTCCTCTATACTACAGCATAGCTCTCAGATGATACTCTGCATTTAGAGTGCTAACTGAATTTCACTTACAAACAAAGAATCATTTCTTAAAGTGTGCACTGAGGCTAAGGTAATGATTCTTAACACTTTATGGTGAATTTCGTACACAAATACAAGTACAGTGGTGCCCCGCTTGACGACAATAATCCGTTCCAGGAAAATCGCTGTTAAGCGATATCGTCGTCAAGCGAAAAAAACAAACCCATTGGAATGCATTGATAACCAGTCAATGCGTTCAAATGGGGGAAATACCTCATTGTCCAGCAAAGATTGCCCATAGAGAACCTCGGATCAGCTGTCCAAAATCGCGAAACTTCCCTCCAGAAAGCAGCCATTTTGAGAAGGGAGGGAAGCCATTTTGCGGAACCGGAAAAATCATCATATAGTGAACAAACGGTTTGCGAAGCAGGTTCCTAATCAACGTAATGCGGATTTCCCCCATAGGAACCATCAATTTCGACGTCATGCGGGGTAAACGTATAGCAGGGCACCACTGTAATCCTATTTGTAGAATGTCAGACAAGGCTGAATGATGATGAATCCAATTAAGAAATACAAACCCTTTGAGAAACAATTCTGAACTACTGAAAAACAGCACTTAAGTTCTGAACTAAAGCTAGAAAGATATAAAATGTTACCTTTTACTGGAGATTAATTCTGCAAAATATTTCCCTTTACTTCTTTACAGGATTAGCACACTAACCTTGAAATGATAAAATGGGAGTTTTAGACTTCCATAACTGAAATCCTTACTGGAAAGTTGCATTTTTCCTCCTTTAAGCACATAAATCATTAATGCTAAAACAGAATCTATATGGTCCAATTTTTTTTCCAGATTTCAGATATTGTGATGCTTTGCAACCCTGGTTTGCCACATCAGATCTTATTGTTTAAAGAAGAAAAGCAGGGCTTTAAAACCTACAGAATTATTGGAGATATTGTGAAGAATTTTCGTGAAGACGTAAACTGCACGCCATAGTCCAGCTGCTCCCAGTGGGTCAGCAACCTTGCTTTACCTTGGTCAGGCGTTTCAAAAGGAGTTCCTTTTACTGCATGTAAAAATACATACATTCCCTGTAAGAAAAAAAGACCAGCAATGTTATTCACAACTGTATTACAGCAGTGCACAGAATCTCAGCTGGGGGAACAGGTGGGTGGGAAACATTAAACACTATTATGGAAGTAAGACAGAAACTTCCTCTGTGATTGCCAAAATTATACATATTTGCTAAATGATTAGACAGAACTACTAAAATAAAGCTATTTTTTCTTAAAACACACACACCCTTTTATTAGAAATATTTAACAACAAATACAAGAGATAGATTTGATCATGACAAATCTGAGAATTCTCAAGGCTTATATGTCATGGCTCTGTTGTCTTTAAAGAAGCAGTATCAAGAACTATAGATTGTTGACTGTTACTAATACATCTTTTCATATTTTGTAAAGGAGTTTGAGCTGCACAGATAGTGTTGTAACTACTAATGCCAAGTTCTGAAATGCTCGTAATTTTTAAATCTCATAGTTCATCTAGCTTCTTCACTTGCCACCCTGGCAATGCACATTGTGTACCAAGGAGCTCCACGTCTGGACAATTAGCTTGCTCTTTACTGTTTAAGCAGGGAGATGAAAGATGGTCTATACCCGAAGATGGTATAATAGCCATATGTTAAGGAAGTGTTTCAGTCAAAATTGCTTTTTCAGTCTTTAATACGTTAATCCTTTCTTGGTCGGCATCCTTTGTTTCCTTAGGTAAACTATCTTTCAATTCTACTGGTATCTTTTTACAGCTTACTTTTTTCTTCTGTATTGTAGAGAAATGATTTAGAATTATACTCTGAGCTAAGGTTTTCTTCTGTTTTCTTGATACTCCCATATCTATGAATTAATGCCAGTACACTACAATACAATATAAAGGTTTGAATTACAGAATCTGGGCTACAGATTGTACAAAATCTCAGTTATAAACTAGACTAAACTATGGACATACATAGAAACTGTCCCAGGAATTATTGTTCAAAAACTAATATTCATGATTTATCCATAAAATTATCTTATCTCTATTAACTATTCATAATGATAATCAATAATAGCTAAGTAATAAATAACAAACTGGGCTTATCTTTCTATACACCTAATTGAACATTAAATATTGAATATTATTAATATAATAAAAATAATTAAGGCTATGGTTTAAAAACTTATATAGCAAATAATCTTGAGGGAACCTATTAATCAGTTAAAACACTTGAATAAAATTCAAATAAAAAAAAGAAAAGGATTAAAACTCAATTTAAACAATTTAAAAAACAATCACCAGCAAAAGAAAATTAAGTATCTAGTGAATATATAGTGAAATTCACTTCACTTATGGAATCATAACATTGGCAAGTCAATATTTCCACTAATGATGCCTATAGACTTGACAACTCAGGAATTAAATACACCATTAAGCAGAGACAGAACATCAATTAAGGGAAAGCTTGCTGGAAAAGAAAGGTCTTTGCCTGCTTGTGGAAGGACAGCAAAGAGGGGGGCAGTCTGGCCTCCTGTGGGAGGGAGTTCCAAAGTCTGGGAGCAACAGCAGAGAAGGCCCTCTCCCGTGTCCCCATCAGACACACCTGTGAAGGAAGTTGTACTGAGAGAAAGCCTCTGTACTTATTTATTTATTAGATTTCTATCCCGCCCTTTTAGACAAAGTCTACTTTGGGCGGGTTTCACCAAACATTGTAAACTAAAACAATTAAAAACAATTCAAAAAAATAGTAATTAGTAATGCTTAGTAGTGCTCAAGATGGGAAAACAGAAAATTGTAATAAAAATAAAGTCAAGTATTGACAGGAGGGAAGGCCTGCCTAAAGAGCCAAGTTTTTAATTGGCTCTTAAAAACACCAGTGAGGGAGCAGGCAGATCACTGATGGGAGGTTATTCCAGAGCCGAGGGGCCACTGCCGAGAAGGCCTGGTTTCTTGTTCTTTCTTTCCGGGCCTCTCTTGGTATTAGGCCCCTCAACCGTCCCTCTTGGTTATGGCGAGTGATTCGGGTAGATCTAGGTGGGAGAAGGTGATCTGCAAGGTATCGGGGTCCTAAACCGTTTAGGGCTTTATACGTCATCATCAACACTCTGAAGCCAATGCGGAAGCGAATGGGCAGCCGATGCAAGGCACCCAGAGTGGGAGAGATATGCTGATATTTTCTCACCCCACTAAGGAGTCTGGCCACCGCATTCTGCACCATTTGAAGCTTCCGCGTCAATTTCAAAGGTTGCCCCATGTAGAGCACATTACAGTGGTCTAATCTCGAGATTACAAGCGCATGGACCAAAGTGGTGAGAGCCCCGCCATCAAGATAGGGTTGCAGCTGGGCAATCTGCCGCAGATGGAAATAGACGGAGTGGACCACAGACATCACCTGGGTTTCCATGGTAAGCGCTGGATCCAGATGGACCCCCAAGCTGCAAACCTTACTCTTCCAGGTGAGAGTCATCCCCCCAAAGAGAGGGAGTTTCCCAAACCACCTCCGTCTTGTCCTGAGGTCCTGAGGGTGGACTTAAAGACAAGACAAGACTTAAACCTCACTGTATCTTACTATTTTCTTGTTTTCTCTCAGAATGATGGCCCCACCCAGTGGCCTTGTGTAGATGTTAAACAGCATTGAGGAGATGATCAACCCCTGCAGGAAAGCCTATTTAACACCTGGCTCTAAAAGGGAGCCTTAAAATAGCCTGGGCTTATCACCACAATTGTTGCATCAAGGTGTACAAGAGAGTAGAACAGGTAGCAGACCATCTTAGTCTGTCCCCCATCCCTGCAAAGGCTCTGAGTTCCAGTGAATCTAAATCCCACCAGATAATAGTCTGACCATGACAACAGAACTACAGAGAGTTCCTGCATAGTTACACCACCAACATCTACCTTATTACAGAAAACCAGATCTAAAGTGTGCTCTGCAGTATGGATGGAATTTTCTACCATTTGGTCATCATGGAGGACACGAAGTCCTGAGCCGCTGCCTTGGCATGAACATTGACGTCCTCCAGCACAAGCTGAAGGGACTCAATCGTCACCTCTGAGACCAGCTCACTTTGCTCAGGAAGTCAGGTTGTTGAGCCACTGGGTGGGTGGTACACTAAGAGAAACCATATTCTGTCCCAGATTCCTACTTTCAGAAACACACATTCAGACTCAAGAAACTGGGGAAAGTTCCCTGCTTCTTTAGTACCTTAATTGTCTCTAAAGTCTGCTTATGGTGATTCTTGTAATTATTGGAAGTCATTAGCTGTTAACAAAGAATATGTCAGTTTGTAGAAGCTTTAGTCTTCAACCTACTGGTATTCTAAACTGTTGACTGCCAAGAGACCAAACAAACCAAGATACAGTATATAGGTAGAGGGGGTGAGGCAGTGGAAGAAGATGGCAATAACAACTAAAGTTAATTATTCAGTTATCTCTTTCACTCAGTTCCCTAGATAGTGCTACTCCTTAAACTGGCCATCTCTTCTTCTCAGAGCTCAAGTTTTTTTTCCCTTTCTCCCTCTCAGCTACCAGGCATTCCCAGACTACTTTTGCACACTCTACAAAATTTGAAGGCTCTCCTCCATCGCCCCACCCATCAGTTTTGTTTCGACTAACTGCCCGCTTTGGTGGTGGATGTTGCTTCTTTCCTCATGGCTGCTTCCTGATGGATTTTCCATGGCCAGGTGACTCTTTCTTCAGCCCTCAAATTCAGCAACAGGTTTCAACTCTTTCTGTTGGAGGGTGTGGCACACTTGGGCCTCCCTCAGGCTCTGTGGGAATCATCTGCCAGTGGTGATGACTGGCAGCCAGTATTTTCCTTACCTCATCTTTGAACTCTCGCAATACAGTTCTGAATGATATTGCACAGACTAACACAGCTACTTCTTCCAAAACCATTCCATGAATTTGTTACCAAATGCCTGGCTGGATATAAATTCATATTTTTAAAAAATTTATTTTGTTATTCTTACATCTTTTTCTTTAATGTTTGTTAAAGTACATGACTTTTTGATCCTACATTAATTCATAATAGCTTATTTCTAGCTGTCTGGTTTGGGTTTTTTTTATGTGAGGGTCTTTCATTCAATATGGACGGCCCGTATCTTCTTTTAAGTTGTATTGCCAGCATATGCTATCAATACAGTGGTGCCTCGCTAGATGATTGCCTTGCAAAATGAGGAATTCACTAGAAAATAACTTTTTTTGAGCAATGTTGCACTTCGCAAAATGATTATTCCTATGGCCAATTTTCACTGGAACCATGTTTGGGTCCTTGCCTCACAAGACAGTGTTTTTTTTACACTGTTTTGCAAGATGGTGTTCCTCCCACAATCCTCTAGTGCACATGTATTAGCATATGCTAATACCTTATGCTAATACCTGTGCACTAGAGGATTGTGGGAGGAAAACCTAGCCCCTGATGGGGGTCCTGCAGGGCACCCCAAAACACTGAGGAGCTCTCTTGGCCTCTGGCAGGATTGGGGCTGTGCAGCCCTGTTCTGAGTGGGAGGTACAGCCAGAGGGTCACCATGCCTTGGGGGGATCAGGGGACAAAAGGGGGTATGAGCTGCAAGGGCCATTTCAGCTCATACCTTGCAGGGGAAATACCATGTCATAAAAGTGGTTTTCCCAGGGGGAGGCTCATCCATTGCATTTTGGGTATGCTGCTGGTCCCTCTGGTTTCCTCATATGTGGGGAACTCAACTGCATAATTTGTGTTAATAGGAGATTGCACTTGTGATTTTCTTGGTTTTTCTAGATTTTTTATCTTTCTTTCTCTTCATCAGGACCTACTGCAAAGGCAGCAAGTCCTGGTGATGTCTTATATTGCATTTTTTCTCTTTTTCTCCCTAGTGGTAAAGGATCAGGGCAAAAGGAGTCACCATGATCAGGACCCAGGGGGCTGCTTTGATTCCTTTCATTTTCTCTTTGTTGATAGAGAAAGAAGGGGAATGCCATCTGAGACTCACTGAATTTCCAAAGGCAGTGCAGGTGAGGAGGATTTTCCTCCAATATGGTATGGGGAATTGTGTTTTGCAAGATGATATCTTCTATTAACAATTTTTGCAAGATAGTGATTTTTCCCCAATTAGAATGCATTAAATAGATTTCAATGCATTCCAAGGGGGAACTGGGTTTCACAAGATGATGTTTTCGCAAGACAGCGATTTCCATGGAACAAAGTCTTCCGAGGCACCACTGTACAAGCAACTATAAATGCGATCACATTCCCGTCTGTCTCATTTTCTGGGTGACTTTGAAATTTGAGGTTCCAGATAGCTCAGTGGTTTAGGTATCTGGCTGAAGAGCTTGAGGCTGGGAGTTCAATTCCTCACCATTCCTCCCGTGAGTACAGCCAGCCTGTGTGGCCTTGAGCAAACTGTACAGTCCCAGGGAACCCTCAAAAAGAAGGGAAGGGTAAACCACTTTGGAGTATTCTCTATCTGGAAAGGGTCGCCGTAACTCAGAATTGACTTGAAGGTGCATGATGATGACTATTCTGTGGTTATTACTTTCCAAATTTCCTACTTGCTCTTACAGGATCATTGTATGTTTCTGTAAATGTTTAATTTCTGTATCATGCCAGTTCCTTGTTTAGAGGCCTGTTTACTACCTGTTCGATATTAGTTTCATTGTAATCATTGTTAATTTCAGATGTATTGGCTCTAGCAGTATAATTAAAACTTCTTGAAGTTCTGGTCTTACTGCTGCAGTACCTCTCTAATCAGTGTGGCTGTCACCAAGTCTCCTTTGATCTTGCCATCTTTTGAATCTTTCCCAGGTGCCATGTTTAAATCTTCAATGTTTTTCCTAAGGCCATATACTCCAAGGAGCACAATGCTTTAAAATACAAGATGTCAGCTCTTTCTTGGGATAAACCTGCTTCACCTGTCTTGCCTTGCCTCCAAAGTTTCTTTTATTTGCCAGTGATTTTTTAAAGGTTCACCTTAATAGCTTCACATTGTACTAATAGACTATCCTGCTGTTTTGTTGGGTAGCAGACTTGCCCCAGTCAAATCATTATTTCAGCTAACCTTTTATTTTTATTGTAGCTCAAAGCTATTCTACAAGACAGATCAGGTTATTTTGCGAAAACTTAAAAGGCATCTGGCAAGATAATGAATTTCATGACTAACAGGAAAACTGCTGTCAAGAAACTTTAGGGCAGCCTTTGCCCACATATCACTGCTGTGGACTACTATTCCCGTCGCCACATGCCACTCGCCATGCTGGATATGGCCAACGGGGATTGTAGTCCAAACATCTAGAGGGCACCATGTCTGAAGGAAGCAAGATTGTCAAAGTTCAAATGAAGTCCAACTGGTTTTAGTTCTAAATACAGAGTTTTGCAGAACTGAACTACAAGTTATATCTAGCTGGGAGATGAAATTCAAAGCCTGCTCTGTGACCCAAACATTCTGGCATATTTCAAGCGATCCTTAGTGTCAGGAAAGCAAATAAATTGATGCACCAGATGATTACATCTGAAATACATATTTTGGATTAAAATGGATGAAGCTTGGCATATCCATTATAAACACTATTTAAATCGGGAACTTAGTCAGCAGCATCCCTCAGGGCAGCAAATTGGTGACAATGTTATACTAACTTTTAAATCCCAAGCTACAGTAAAGTCTTGTTTATCAGCAGCCACAGATTTATTCCAGGCCCAGTGGTCTGTTTGGGTGCCAGAGGCTCTCAAGCAAACTGTCCTCCAGCTGACAAAGGCCTCTACGGAATTGCATCAGGTATTCAAGGGACGTATACTGCAAAATTCTTCACAGAACTGGAACTGTTCTATTACACAGCTTTTTCTCTGCTGTGCTCAAAGATGCCTTGCACCATTTTAGAAATGCAAATATCACACTTCAAAGACGATGCTGAAGGTATATAAAATAAGCAGTCACGACAATTTGCATGCCAACTTTAATTATGTAACTAAATTTCTTCCCACAGAATATTGTCCAGAGATTTGTTTGCATCTGCAAGTTTCTCAACAAATGGCAACCTGTTTTGCTTTGAGAATGTACTTGCCCTTCTAGAGAGATCATGGAACATTACTTGCCCGCAAAGTTGGTGCTAAAGTCTCCAGCTGTACTTTGGAATACAAATCACTCCATGAAGTTGGTTAAAAACTCTAAACTCTTCCCTGGTCAAATGGTGTTGGGAAGTACTGTTTCCAGGAGAGCATCTCCACCCACAAGTATCCTGACTGAGGAGAAGGAGGCCATGAAAACTGAAAAAGTTGGATACTGCTGTTCTTTGGCCTTGATAAAATTACTTCTAAGTGCACTGAAGTTGGGAAGTATGGAGAAATTATTTACATGGTAACTATTTCCATGGATGACATGCCATATTGCATTGGTAGATGGATACTTGCGCAGTAATCTGTCTTTCCTTTTCTCTGCCTCACACGTCCAAGTATTGCATCTCCCCCCCCCGGACTATTGCAATGCAAAGTACTTACCAAATTGTGAATAACATTGGTTAAGGTCCATGCGATGGGCACACTGAAGAAAGGAATGCTTAGTAGGACAATATGAAGGAGGCCAACTCCAAGGGCGTACGTGAGCCACATTCCTCGGCTGTTCATTACCCTTGTGTTGGGATTGACCTCACTGTGGGCAACCCCGACATTCATTTTTTTTAAATTCTGAAAAAGAGCATTGCAGTGAAAAAGTTTACAGAAAGTGGGCTTGTCAGTAATACTCATTCTAGCTGCCACAGACTGGGAGTGACCCTCACACATTACTGCATGGTATTTTGTTAGCATACATAAAGGCGTTCTAAATTCTCCTTTCACAGACTTGGCTGGCTGACTTTTACTCTGCTGGAGAATAACAAACACAGGATAACAGTGTTCATAAGGTGACTAATCCATACCTGGCAGCGATATTTTGCACAACCTATAAGAGGGTTTCTGGATTAGGAGGCACTTAGTAGTTTTAGCAGACTGTTTAAAATGTTTTTATTTGCTTTCCAAGGAACAAATCTTCAGTATAAAACAAAAGATTTATGCTAAAGCTATACGCTAACAAACCAGAAAATTTAGACCACTGATCATCTTTACCCCCACCACCCCATTCTGTATTCTCACTTACAGGCATGCTAACATACTCGAATTGTCCCTTTACAAGCACAGACCACTCTAAAATCGCATTAGCCATTCAGCTTCATAGACAGTGTATCACTAGCAGGAATGAAACGAAACCCAGTTTTGATATTGTTAGCGGCAAAAAAAAAAGCAGATTTACAATACAGTTCACTTTTCAGTTACATGGCGTTTATTTCTTTATTTTAATTTAAACTTGCATGCTACTCCATAGTTCATCACATACAGTATATCACAGGAGTACATCCCCTCACATTTCATAAATATTTTAGTATATCTCTTCATGTGACAACACTGAAGAAATGACACTTGGCTAAAATGTAAAGCAGTGAGTATACAGCTTGTATAACAGTGTAAATGTGCTGTGCCCTCAAAATAACAAAACACACAGCCATTACTGTCTAAACCACTGGGAACAAAAGTGAGTACACCCCTAAGTGACAACGCCCAAATTGGGCACAAAGCGTCAATATTTTGTGTGGCCACCATTATTTTCCAGCACTGCCTTAACCCCCTTGGGCATAGAGTTCATCAGAGCTCCACAGGTTGCCACTGGAGTCCTCTTCCACTCTTCCATGACGACATTACAGAGCTGATGGATATGGGAGACCTTGCGCACCTCCACCTTCTATTTCAGGATGCCCCACAGATGCTCAATAGGGTTTAGGTCTGGAGACATGCTTGGCCAGTCCATCATCTTTACCCTCAGCTTCTTTAGCAAGGCAGTGGTCATTCTGGAGGTGTGTTTGAATACTGTCCTGCGGCCCAGTCTCCGAAGGGAGAGGATCATGCTCTGCTTCAGTATGTCACAGTACATGTTGGCATTCATGGTTCCCTCTATGAACTGTAGCTCCCCAATGCCGGCAGCACTCATGCAGCCCCAGACCATGACACTCCCACCAGCATGCTTGATTGTAGGCATGACAAACTTGTCTTTGTACTCTTCACCTGGTTGCTGCCACACATGCTTGACATCATCTGAACCAATTAAGTTTATCTTGGTCTCATTGGACCACAGGACATGGTTCCAGAAATCCATGTCCTTAGTCTGCTTGTCTGCAGCAAACTGTATGCGGGCTTTCTTGTGCATCATCTTCAGAAGAGGCTTCCCTCTGTGATGACACCCCTGGAGACCAATTCGATGCAGTGTGCGATGTATGATCTGAGCACTGACAGGCTCCCCTACCCCACCCCTACAACCTCTGCAGCAATGCTGGCAGCACTCAGACGTCTCTTTCCCAAAGCCAACCTCTGGGGCACTCAACTTCTTTGGTTGACATTGGCAAGGCCTGTTCTGAGTGGAACTTGTCCTGTTAACCCACTCTATGGTCTTGGCAACCATGCTGCAGCTCAGTTTTAGGGTTTTGGCAATCTTCTTATAGCCTAGACCATCTTTATGTAGAGCAACAATTCATTTTTTCAGATCCTCAGATAGTTCATTACCATGAGGTGCCATGTGGAAATTCCAGTGACCAGTCTGAGAGAGTGAGAGTGACAACACCTGCTCCCCCTTCACACCTGAGACTTGTGACACTAAGAGGTCTCGTGACACCAGGGAGGGGAAACGGCTACTTGGGCCCAATTTGGACACTGTCACTTAGGGGTGTACTCACTTTTGTTTCCAGAGGTTTAGACATTAATGGCTGTGTGTTGCATTATTTTGAGGGGACATCACATTTACACTGTTATACAAGCTGTATACTCACAGCTTTACAGTGTAGCCAAGAGTCATTTCTTCAGTGTTGTCACATGACAAGATTTTAACATCTCAGGTAGTAAAAGCACTAATAAAATGTGGCTTTAAATAATACTGTTTTAATCAATTTCTTAAACACTGAGAGGGAAGGCATTTGAGAAACCTCTGTTGGAAGCTTGTTCCAAGGGAAGAGGCCAGAACAGAAAAAGCACAATTCATGTTGTTAAGTCTTTTTGCTTCCTTAGGTGTCACCATTTTTAACATCATGGACTGTGAGGGTGGAATGAGTACCTGTTTGTGTGAGATGTTCTAACAGATAATAAGGTTTTAAACCATTAAGGACTTTATAGTTGATGACCAGCACCTTGAATTGGGCACAGAAACTAACAAGGAGTCAATTAAAGCATGTCAAGACTGGGGATATGTGTTCATATCTGCTGGTATCTGTTATCAGTCTGGCCAACGCATTTTGGAGCTGCTGAAGTTTCCATACTAACTTCAAGGGCAACCCTATTTCAAGAGTGTTAAGAGTAATCCATTTTAGAGAGTATCAACACATGTATCACTGTTTCTTCTCATGGTAGCGGCACAGCTGGGCAGTCAACTGATGTTGGTGAAAGGCCAAAGAAAGATCCAGGAGGACCCTGACTGCCTCCTTCAGAAGATTGTTCTGCATGGCGACCAATGCCATTTCAGTTCCATGATGTGGCCTAAACTCTAGGCTCTCTGTTCCCCCCGAAAGCACCTCCAGTTGGTCAGTCACCACCCTATCAATCAACTTGCTCAAGAATGGAACATTAGCAACAGCCCTATAAAAATCATCTGTTGCTAAATTTGGTTTCTTCGGAATGGGTCTTATTATGATCTCCTTTAAGCAATAAGGTAAACAGCACTCCTATAGAGACACATTAATGATGTATGTCAACTCCTTTGCTGATTTTAAGAGCCACAATGGGCAAGGAATTGGAGAAGAAGTACTGGTTTTGCAGCGTGCAAGTGCTTTGTCCACATCCTCAGGCCACACCAACTGAAACTGATCCAATTTAACCTGACTAGATAGGGCGTGGGACATAGCCTTCTGATATACTGGTATCAACAAGGAGTAAAAGTTCCTATGAATGTTTTCAACCTTGGATATAAAGGAGGTTGCTAGTCGACTGCAATTATCCACACTTGAATTTAAAGCTCATTTTTGTCTGGAAGAGATGACATCATAGACAATACAGAAAAGTTCCACCTGTTAGATGCATCCTCAGTTAGTTGGGAACAGTGGCTTCTTTTAGTGACCTTAATTTTATTCCAATATCTTCCAGATGTTTCCCACAGCGACAAGCTGAACTCCATGGGAGCTTTCCTCCATCTGCCCTCTAGCTGCCTTCGTTATTGCTTTATCATCCTTAACTCCTCTGCAAATCACAGAAAAGCCTGGATCCTGCAGCAAATAAGGCATTTAGGAGCATTCGTGTCTACAGCTCAGGTCACCCCTGAATACCAGTGAGTGACCAGAACATCAACAGGAGCATCAACCTTATCAGCTGGAAAACTCCTCTGGGACATTTTGGAAACCAACAGGATCCATCAGTCTTCAGAGGTGGACCACAGTAATAGGTCCCTCCTCCTCACGTTGGGGTACAGTTGTACAAAGTCCAAACAACAGGATATCAGACCATTACAAGAGGGAGGATGCAAGGGTTGCCACCTTCAGATCACCCCCTCCCTGTCCCAACGTGAACACCAGATCTAGAGTGCAACATGCATAGGCCTGGTGGAATATAGGGACAGGCCTAGAAGGGCCATGAGACTCATGAACCTCAGAGCTGTTCCAGACAACTGGGTCTTAACATATAGAGTATGCCAAAGTCCACCAGAAGCAAAAGTCTGGGGAATCTCAACACAATACTGGAGATATATCTCCATCAGCTCTGGTAGCAAGCGTGTTGGATCATGGGGGAAACGATACACCAACCCCCGTCTTGTTCTCTCCTACATGTACTTACATATATTTATTTATTTATTTCTTATTTCCACTTCTACTTGTATCTATTAGTCTGGCAGAATTGATCTGTACTTGAGATAAGGAAGTCTTGTGTTTAATGGGCTTTCGCCCTAAGTGAAAGTGGGGCTTTCACTCATTTCTTTAGAGCAGTCATTCTTAACCTTTTTTTGGCCATAGCCATAAAAACAATATGAAAGAAATACAGGCTGAAACAGGAGTGTATCAGTCACATAATGAAAGGTGGTGTGTGAAGATTTTTTTTCCAGTCTGTGGCCCCCTTCAAATGTGTCATGGTTTCCCAGGGGGCCATATGGCCCCACTTAAAAATGGATGGTTTAGAGCCGGGGTCCCCAACCCCTGGTCCGTGGCCTGATACCAGGCCGTGGCCTTGGCAGGACTGGGCCACGGAGACAGATCTCCTGCCCCCCACATGCACTCCCCCACACCTGCCTACCCACCCACTCACACGAGTACCCCACCCCACCACGCGACCACGCCCCCTGCACATGTGAGTGCACCTAACCTACCCACATATGCACAAATGTGCACCCCCGCGAGCGCCCCTCTCTGCACATGGACCCCATCCACCTCAACCGATCTGTGATTTGGAAAAAGTTGGGGACCATAGCTTTAGAAAACTAGCACTGAAGTTAAGGGAAGTGAGGGAAGATGATCTATGGTCTTGCTTTGGGGTGTAGCTCACATTTCTCCTTTAAACTGATTTTTCTTTTTCTTTTGGGAATTTACTTGCTTTTTGAGACATGAGAACACAGAGACATTAATGCTGGGAAAAGAAAATCAGTTTTACTGAATATTTTAAGGGAAGAAATATTTTTAAAGCCACTTGATAAACAAGCATATAATCAATAGCAACAAAGATTCACAATACAAAGCTGAGCAAGTTCTCCTGAACTGTTTCAGCTGGATTCCTAAGGAAATCACACCCACTAATAAAGGAGAGGCACATGCCACTTAGACCTATTCCTTAAAAAGATTGATCCTGCATGCTATGGTGTGTTATTCATAAATCTGTCACCCCATAGAATGATTGCAAATGACTAAGTTTTGCCTGGGACACACAATCCAGGATCAGCCCTGCCCCTCCAAAATCTAACCCTATCCAACTGGCGGGGCGTGGGTTCGAAAACCACAATTTTCATCCCAAAATTGCCAGTCTACATTGTTCACTTGGATAAAATGGACAGAGAAATTACAGGCTTTCAGAAGATGGCTGGACTGAGAAGCACAGAATCAGGGAATAACAGCCAATAAAGAGCTTGCTAAAGAGAAAAAAACCCCACTGTCTACTATTCATTTCTACAGAGCAAATAGCACAGAAACCTGCCAAGAAAGAAAGAAAAAGAAAGAAAGAAATGGAAATTAAACTTTTGATAACTCGTCTGTTATTTTTACTGAGGTTCTTGCATTCTTAGCTAATACATACTTTGGGAAAGAAACTTCATAAGGTGAATTTCAGAAACACTGGCAATCAACCACCTATTCCAAAATATTCAGACTCAATATGACAAATATGACCACCACTAACATGTCAAACTTCAAAGTCACATAATGAAGTCATAAATGTAAGAGGGCATGATACCTTTTATTGGACGGGTAAAAGTTAAACAAATTGCCAGCTTTTGTGGATGAAATTCCCCTTATTCAGTCTTAACACAACTCCTCCATGGAAAGTGCAAAAAAAAAAAACTGTCCAGAAATTGATGGTACATGTCTGTGAGAGGTGATGTAAGTCTTCTTGAGTTTGCTGTCTTTAGCAGCTTTGTAGTCTAGTTGGAATTGTTACACCATTGCTCTTAATACCAAAGGTACCATCCATTTCTGGACAATTTTTCTGCACTTGCCATGGAGCAGCTGTGCTAAGCCTGAAGACGTGGAATTCTATCCACAAAAGCTTGCAATTTGTTTGAATTTTAGCCATCAAATACAACGTATCACCCACTCTTACGTTTGTGTAACTTTGGAGACCGCACAGCCTTTTCCTTGTTCATACTGAAGTCATTTTTAACATTTTGGGCGAAATCTATCTCTTAGTCCCAACTGAATTAGCCCATTAATCAATCAAATTTTAAAAAGTACTTAAGTTTCAATCAACCACTCCAATTGTAACTAGGCTTGATATCAAGTTGCTTACCAGGAGTGGGTAAATCCTCCAGATGTTATGAGATGTTTCACCACTGTCTATGTGGAAAAGGCCTGCTGAAAGTTGTATTCCAACATCTGGTGACCACAGGTTGCCCACTCCAGCTGTGTACACACAAACAAAAAAACATTTTAGTGATAATCAAGATAGCTGTTGCTTGGCGCATCGCTAATAAATGGATTCCTTATTCTGGATCAAAGAAAAGTGTGAAGAGAGTGAAAGATTTCTGAAAAATGTGTTAAGAAAAACTTCAGCTGCATTTTAATAAAAGCCTGGCACACACTGCAACTCTAGAGAGAACCTATAAATTCTTCAAAGAACAACACAGTTTACATAATGGAGGTGTGTTGTGTAATAACACTGTGTGGAAACATGAATGCTCCTCCTGACAAATGGGCACCTACCCAACTTAGTGGATCAAAACAGAATGCTATTGAATGTAAATCTCCAGTGCAAGGGAAACTGTGACCAGTGATTACTATTAAAGCTGAATGCAGGAGATAAACAAATACGGACTTGAGTCACAGTGGTACATAAATAGAACTTGATGTCAATATTAAGTTACAACAACAAAGAATAATGTGCCCTCAAGTCAATTCTGACTTGTGGTGGTGATCCTTTCCAGGTAAGAGTCCTCAGAAGTGGCTTCACCGTTTCCTTCTTCTAGGGAC